ATTTTTAGGAATGTGTGATCCTTTCTGGGGGAAGGAGGTGGGACATACCCAAAACTCTGAGTAAGAACTTTCACGAGAAAAGCCTCTAGCAAAATACAATGAAAAGAGACATGGCTTCACTATAAATGTAATCAAATTCCTCACTTCCAGAGACTTTTTCCTTCTTCCCATTAATGGATTGATATAACAAAGTTTCTTAAAATATGCAAAATTTAAAATAAGAAGGGATAAATAAAGTCTTCCTAAAACAACAACATAACCACATTGTAGCGTTGCCTGAGAAGTTTTCCTGTTTGTTGATCCAAAATAATAGCTGATATGTCTGCCTGTCATTGTCTCTCTGTCTCTCAATATGTAACTGAGTAGGAGGAGAAAGGGATAAAAACACAGACACTGAGAAACAGAAAAGATCAGGGAAGTTTAGGGGCTGCCAATGTAGACACAAAGTTCAGAGTAAAAGTGCTTCCCAAATTGTATTGGAAAGCACTCATATATGTGATTCCATAAATAAAGGAAATAATAGCCTTTAGTAACAACAAAATACATATGCCTTTTATATTACTTAGACTTTGATTTTTTTTTAAAAGAAACAGTGAATATATGTAGAATATTTCAAATTCCATGCCATTTCAATGAGTGCTAGTCTTTTTCATGGTTCATTATTGATCCTGAGATTTCTATCAAAATATTATCTATGCCATTTTAATCAATACTTCTGAAATTGTCTTGAAGTATTGGCAGTATCTGGAGTCATCAGAGTGAATTTGGTCCATTGTACTTGCCAGGGCAGCAAAAATGTAACTACTGTTCTTTTGCTCTAAATCATACAGAAGAGTCTATCTTGAATGGGTTATCTCTGAATAGGTCTGAGTTATCTTGTTTTCTTGGTCCATTGAACACTACACTTTTCACTAAATAGAGCTTGCTCAACTTACTCTTTGAGTATAATTACATAGTCTATTTTTATTAAAAAAACTTTTTAAAAGATTGATTTTATCAGCATTTAGTTTCTATTTGATTAATGGGATCATACTACTACTTTGAAAGCATATAACTAAATTTTTCATATTTCCAATTGTTTTTGTGAATGTATACCCTCCTACCTTGTTTATCAGTACAATAATCAACAAAAATTCAGCTCTTGCTATGTTTCAGGCTGTGTGCTAAAATAAATACTGGGAATTTAGTGGTGTCAATCATTAATAAAGGTAATGATAAATTTATAACTAAATACAAAACCTTTAGTTTTTATGGCTTTGTAATGTTTCCACAATAACAAATTTGCAATTGAAAAAAAATACTGTTGGACAATATGTCCTGATTCTTAGCTTGAAAGAAATAGTCACTACCATTAAATAATTTATATTGCTTTCTAAATAAAATGGCAAACAACCTGGAAGTACTATCAGAGACTAGCAGTGTTTAAATACATGGACATTCAATAATAGAATTGGCAGTACTTTTAAAAATAAAAACAATGGCAATAAAAGTTTTGGGATGACTAACACTATCCTTTTTAACTCTGCCATTGCAAAAGTAAGGCATGACTATGTGCTTTCAGTAAACATTCAAACAGCACAAAACTACAGATAGTAAAAAGTGAAGTCCTCTTTCTCACTGGATTTTATTTATTTCTACTAGCGTGAATGTGATTTTGAAATGATTCCAAACATTTGGGAAGACAGTGCATTAAGGATACTACACCAGCATTAACCATTCTTCAAATGACTCAATTCCAAATTGAGAAAATAAAATATAATTAGAATGCAAACCATATCATTATGGCCTTTCCATCCACAGTTATATTAGAGCATAATTTTAGGTAATCTGTTGAGAGTAAACACTTATGCAAGAGGTGAATGTAAAGAGAGTCTGTAAGACTTCCCCTTCCCTCTCTGCCTCCCACAGGACAAAGGTGATAATGGGAGAGAACTGCTGTGGCATCTTTGCTTCTGTCACTTCTGGGATCCTATCTTTAACTTACTGTCTGCTACTAATATTGTTTTTAGCTTTAAAATCCTCAAGACCAAAGTGACAGCTTGATCAGAAATCAGATAAGTAAACACAAAGCCTTTGAAAGAGAAATGCCATCATATAAAATAAAGTGTTAACTGAAAAGTAATAAATGTTACAATTCACACAATTGATATGATTAAATGGATACATGGTAACTGAATAAGTTACTTAATTTTCCAGTTACTATAGAAATTAAAGTATTAAAATTCAGAAATGAGAGTCTCTGGGATATCATTACACAATAAATATTGGAATATTTTCATTTAGCAATGATGCCATCTGCCCTATCCAATACAAATGGACTACAACCATAAGGCTCCTTTCCTCATTGATTACTCATATGAATGAGGTAGCAAAATTACTCATAAAACCATCATATTGTATGACACTGTCATTAAAAAGATATGGAGAAAGGAAAAACACAAGATGATACTTAGTTTGAAACTGTCAAGTCAATTTAGTAAAGTTTTAACAATCCAACATTCTGATCCTAAAAAGTATCAGCATGTTAAATAATGTGTCAGTCCTGCACTCTCTCAGCACCTTCAAAAAAAAACCAAAAAACTGAAGAACCAAAAAATTTCTGGAAAGAGTATAATAGCTTATTATGATATGTTCTGATTATTAATTATCCCAATAAGAATATACTCAAATATCCATTTAGGCATGGGTAATTAAACTAGTAATACTTTCTTTCTCTTTATAGGAAATTGTAAAATGATAATTTAAGTTCTGATAGCAAGTTGTTTTTTTAAAGCAAAATTAGATACAGACTATAAATTTCAACTCAGCAAAATGATCTTTCCAAAACCCACTTTCTTCTTAGCTATAAATGTATTTTCTTAAAATAATGACATATGATGATTCTGTAGCAAATTACTATAAGCAGCATATACCTAAATTGACATTAACTAAGCTGGAAACTAAATACCACTAGCTCGAATTCTGAAATTTCCTGTTTGATGTGGTAATTTGCAATACATTTAATTATAAGGTGAGTATGGTTGGCACTCCTAGAAATTACCTTTATTTTTCAATCTCTATTTAGATGACCAGCCCTTATTTTGCTTACTACTCACTGAAAATATTCTACAAACTGTTTCCTTGGTGAAACTTGTTTTAACTTGGGATCCACATCTGTGGATAACTGAGAAGAAATACATTGTGAATAAATATGTTTATTCTATATTAAACCTTATGCTTAAATAATTTAAAATTTTATATCCTTTTTATTTTTAGCTTACATTGAATACCAAATGAGGCTACTGGGGGGGAAAATCTGTGAAATAACTCAATTTCAAATGTGTCAGCCACAGCAAAAATAAATTAAAATAAAGCACAAATCCAGGAAATATTTTCCCTATCAGCTGAAGAAAGCAACTTTCACAAGAATTTTACAGACCCCAGGAGTCATAGGGAGAGAAAAGGCTCTCAGATATACAAGCCTGAAACCCAACTGGATTAAAAAAAACACACAAATGTCATAACCAAAAGCAAGAGGCAGCTAGTGCTGACTGCTTGCAAACTCCACTTTGTTAGCGGTACACCATCTAGAAGTCTCATTCATGAAAATCAAGGTACTATCTCCAAATGAGGTTTGCCAAATCAGCAACAGGCAGCATGAGCTCGTGTTCTAGTTTGGTCAAAAGAAATACTAACACCTTTACAAATGTGGAAGCACATAATTTAAAGAGAAATTTCAGGTTTGAGTCATTGATTCTTAACTATTACTTTGAGAATGCCATGTGATTTTAATTGCATCTTTAAAATATATTTTAATATATGGCAGTGTAAGACTTTCTCATTCTTTCTTCTCTCTTCCCCCACACTCCTCTTATGACTTTTTTTTTTTGGTAAAAATTTCTAGGCTACTTTTTGCATGCTTTATTTCTTTTGTATCCACTTCAGAATCACTGTACTGAGTTCATTCCCTATGAGATTTGATTTTAATGAAATTGAATTCATTTTTAAAATAAAATTATAGAAAACCAGTGTTTCAAATTATGTCCAACCAGAAACATTGTATATCTTTCTACTATTTAAAAGCATCATCCTGTCATAAAGATTTATAGCAATCCTAAAATTTCTTATAGTTTTGATGCTACTGCATATGGGATCTTTTTTTCCCCATTATGTTTTTAAATAGATTACTGCTGATAGCTAGAAAGTTAAAGATTTTTTTCATATTTCCTTTTTTATTAGCAATCTTCCTAAACTCTTATTAGTTTTCCTGATTGTTCATATCTTATGGGTTTACTGGGTAGATAATATCTGGAATTAATGATACATTGTCAATGTAGTTTTTAACATCAACAAAGAAGAGATTCTTATTCCTCTTAGAACATATTTTAATAATCAGCTTACTCTATTATTTATTTAAAAAGTCTTTTACTTTTTGATGACACAATGGTAGAAATAATGGTATGATCTAAATTCAATACATTTCAGAATATACTTTTGATGTCTGTGGGATAAAAGTTCTAGTCCTAAACCAGGGTACACATCTCATGCTGAAAAACAATAATAAATCTCTGCTAAATATTTTAGAAGAATGGAAAGGTATGGCTCTTTTTAAATGTACTTGGAGCAATAAAGTAAACTTACTCCAAATGAATAAAATATGAAAAAGATTAATCACCACCCCCCTCATTCCCAGAAAGTACGGTCTGACATATGGGCAGAAATATTTCTAAACAAAGTATTTTTCAACATTTTCTAAGAACTCTAAGCTGCTCCTAAAGAACTCTTACTTATTGCTTTGAGGAATTAGGATAAAGTTAGTGATGATTATAACTTTCTATTAAGCAATTTTCTTTCTCAATTTGCATAGTCAATTACAAGGCAGAATTTAACAAACCTTATTATCCCAGATTTTAGTTCAAATTCTTATGAAGTGCACTGAGAAAGACTTGATACTGTCTGAAGAAAATCTTTTCATTAATTGCTCTTTTATAGGCTAGAAATAAAAGAGATATTGTAGGTACCTTTTTATGGGTCCTTAAGTTCTTCTGCCAGGTACCCAGAGCAGTGGCAATGAACTTGCTGTTCCTTACATAACAGTGGGCCATAAGAATGTGAAGTCTGATGCCCTGTGTGCAGCTTCCAAGATTTTTAGGGTGTGGTTTAAGGACACAGTAGCGTCTGTTTGTATTCCGCCACTCACAAGCTTCATTGTGTAAGGTACTAGTGCAATTTTCCCAGCAGGGTGCAGGACTTTTCCAGCCTGTGACAGGAAAAGGAAATTAAAGTCTGATATAAGAAAACACTTTTCTCTTCATTCAAGCTGTTTCTCTGAGTTCTTACTTAACTGGAAAAAATGGTGATAATAATAACAGCTTCTTTGGTGGGTTACTCTGGGATTAGATGTATATAAAGTATCTATTATATGGAGTGCAGGCTCAGAGCAGGGAATCAATAAATGATAGCCATCACTATTATTTCTGAATTAAGACTTTGCTCCCAATGTAACAAGGCTGACTGAGTTTTTTCATGGATTTTGATCCATAAGAGGATAAAGGTACAGATCTGAATAATTAACCACTGTATTTGTTTTTGAAGGAGAAATTAATACAAGGATAAATAGTGATACACTATTTTGAATAGTGCTTAAACAGTTGTGTACTATTTTAAGGCTGAACCTTAAAAGAATTAGCTTTGAGTATATGTGATTAATATTTTTATAATATCATAATGCATGTCCTTATTCATTGGACACAGATATCACTAGGTTATTATTTATACTTGAGGAACATGTAAAATAGAACTAGGGAAAAGACTTTGCCTCAAGGCTGTATATTCCTTAAGGATGGCCCTGTGGTTCAGTGGGATGAAGGGCTGTGGAGTTTAGGTCACAAAAGAAGGATTTCAGATATGTGTCTTTAAAGTTGAAAATGGATTTGTACCTTATGCATCTCACAGACTAAAGACATGGAATTTCTGGCTCCTAAATACATGGATAGATCATATTTTTTTTCAGCAAATTACCATCTATAATTGGACATAAGTTATATGAGACCTTTTTACAAAGCATCTGCTACTTTTTTTTCTGTTTAGACATTTACTAGATCTTGCTCCAAAAGAGCAAGGAGGATAATAAAGGCTAACTAACTCTTTTTTGATTTTCATAAAAATTCTGTGATGAAGCCCTGAATTTTTTTCACTATTGGAAAGAATAAACATGGGAACTATTCAATATATAGAGATGCCAAATACAGAGTCATGGTGAATAAAAATTTCTTTTTGCTCCCCATTCTCAGGGTGTGTAAAACCTTTAATAGAGACTTTGCTGAACTTTTACCACAACTAAAAATTCCTCGGTATTAAAGCTCAGTGAAAAAATTTTCAGTGCCTGGAAGACAAGGCAATCAAACCATGTGACAGTCCCATATGCAACTCCAAATCTGTCCTCATAACTGTCTGTAGAGCTCACAAAAGAGTCACACATGTAGCTATTGGAAGAATATCTTACACAATTTGGCACACAAGTTCTAAGATTAGCAGCTGAAGAGGGGGAGGAGGAAGATGGGAACATAATAGATTAACTGACACCCATCCACTATCTTTCTAAATTGTTTGGAATGTTAAAAATATTGTTTTGATCAATCTATATATACACCCTCAAATTTGAAAGAGAAATTCAAAGCATGTTGTGGTTCAAAGAACAAATGGTTTAAAAAAAAAAAAAACACTATGAAATATATGTCACTGAACAAGGGAGTCCAGCCAGCTCCCAAGTGGCATGTTAACATGATGAAAAGCAAATCCAGGATGCTGTGAATCAAAGAGGCATGGGTCTATTTTTAAAGAGGCCTGTGTCTCCCCACCCTTTTTGCCAAGTACAATTTTTTTTTGGAGAAACCCAGTATCCAAAATAGGTAGGCATCTAAATGTTCCAGGAGTTACCTACCCCACACTTGAGTACCTCCTCCCTTTGTAAGGCCTTCGGCTCTACATACATCATCCATGTTAATTACCAGACAAACAGAAGAGCTGTTCAACTAGTTCACTTCCCCTATTCTTGAACAGATTGTTTGAGACATAATATGAATACTAATTAATGATAAAATATCTGTGAATGTTTTGAAATATGGACAAAGATAGCACTTCGAGAAAAGCGCCCAGATAGATCTTGTGCAACAAGCCCCACTGGTCATATGAAGGGTCAGGCTACAGCTCAGAGATATGAGAGCAAAATTGGCAGAGTTTTTGGCTCCAATTCAGTGGGAAACTGTGGACCATTTTTTTTTTTTGAGGGGAGATTGACTTTCTTGTTAACCTTTTCCCTCTGTTAAATTGGAAGAATTTAAGATGAAAACTTTCTTCGCAGACAAAGGGAGAGAAAAAGAGTTAGAATCTTGTTAGAGGTCAACTTGAATAGATGGAGGAGTGAGACTCCAACAGGATTATGATTCTATGCTCTGCAGCAAAAGAAAGACAAGCAGGTTAGGGTTGACCCAATGCGAGGGTCCAAGGCTGAATCAGGCTCTCTGCTGCAAGGGGCAAGAGGAAGGTCATTTAAAAGAATATGATCCCTATTCAATTCAACTCCCCTTTTACAAACACTAATAGTTTGCTTAGTTTTAGTGAAGTGTCTTATACTCACAAAGATATAAGAAATACAATTTTCTATTAAAGAGCAAAACAGATTATTAACTTCAATTATGAAGACAATTGAAATAATATTCTTTATGGTAAGAGTCACTGCCAAATCTTGTTGTTTCTCTTCTTTTAGTTCTAAAATTGAACATTGTACTTTCTTCTTAAAAGCTTTTTAAACTTTCTTCATCTTGTCTCAGAAACTTTACTCCTTTAATATGCTAGTCTTTGTATTCTCCTCTAATTTTGATATCTAATATAAATGATTAAATAGTGCTTTATAATTCCTTGGACTTCAGTAATTGCAGTTTGTCCCAGAACCAAAGAAAAGAGAAAAAGTTTATTCAAAATTAAACATAATTTATATTTGACACTAGAGTTATTTTTGCACTAGATTTTAATGGTGGTTGTATAAAGTATTAGAAAAATTAATCTGCCTCACTCAAAGAAATAAAAATGTTTCATGAAAATCTGATTTGAGAAATAATTCAAGTTTGCCACAGTCTGTATTTCATGTTCAGCTAGTCCTTATGTGTGTAAGGGTAAGACCTGAGACTCCTACATTTTCCTGTAATTAGATGATTCTTTCCAAGACTGATTCAAGGTTTGCCATGTTCCAATCTTCGTTGAGGACAGGAAAAATGATCAATTATTTGCATTTCAAAGCTTTGCTTTGCATTCAACTAAATCTAGGAAAAAGAGAGATGTCAACAAAAAAATTATCAAATGAGATACTGTTAACAGTAGTTGTCCAAAATGACAGCAAAATAAGTCCATAAATAAAGAAGAAGCATAATAAAGATAATTCACTGTGGATATGAACTTTTGTTATATCATAGGCTTTTATGCTTATTGACACTTATTTGTATTTCTCTTTATATGTATTAATCTTTCCTCCACCTTTCCGCTAGACCTCTTGTTAATACTTGAAGGCTTTTCTCAAATATTTGGAAAAAAGAAGTATGAGAATATCTTCTAAGTTAAGGGGAGAAGCATACACAGTGTCCTGGGGTAGGTCTTTTCCTCTGGATGGGTTGTTATGGCCAGTATGATCCCTTGACTTGAGACTTGATATTTCATTCTGGGCCTTGCCTCCCCAAAGCCATCTCACTTGGACTTCCCTTCACATCACACAGAGATGCAAAGTCAACTAAAGCACCCATCCCTACCCCCAGGCCCTGTGCCTAAGATCCAAATCCAGGTAGAACCTTAGATCTCTGCTTACCTTACAATAAAACTTAAAGAAGACAAGGGCTATGTCTTCTAATTCTGCTATGTGTCCCAAGTATCCTCATGTTGATGTTACATTGTCTGTTAAATTTTAGAGGTGATATTCTCAGAGTGATGGCTAGTAAAGCAATTTTCACAGGACTGCACTGAATTTACCAAGAGGATTCAAAGTGCTGTTAGAACTGGTTGAGTTTTCACCGGTTCAGGAGGTAAAATAGAAGTTACAATAGTTTCATAAACAGAGTTAACATACAGAATCATTAAAAGCATAAAATATACAGGAAAAGATTTTCATCTCTCTTTTATTTTTATGTTGCTCAGGCCCAAATCCTTTGAATCTTCCTCAAATCTTTTCTTTCTTTTCCTTCCCACTTTCTATCTGCCAGAAAATCCTGTTAGTTCTACCTTCAAAATATAACCAGAAGCCAATCATTTCTCACTAAGTTCAATGCTACACCCTGATTCACGCCACACTATCATTTTTCATCTGGATTACTGATATTAATACAACTTCTTAATTGGTCCACTTGCTTCTACCCTTGCTAGAGTCCATGATCAACTCAGTACCCCAGTGGCCCTTGTAACACAGAAGTCAGATCAGGTCAGGCTCTGCTCAACCTCTTGGCTCCTCATTGCACTCAGTGTAAAAGCAAAATTCCTTCCCACAGCCTATAACGCCCAGCACAATCCCTGGCACTCTCCTCTTACTTCTCTGACCTCGCCTTCATAGGTTCCCTTGTAGCTGCATTTTGCTCCAGCCTCCTTTGTCTCCTTGCTATTTCTCAAATAAGCCTCAAACTTCAAACTCTTCCACTTTAGCACATTTCCACTGGCTGTTTCATCTGTCTGGGTTGCCCCACCCCTGTAATCTTCTTACCTAAATCCTTCACATCCTCAGGTCTTTAATCAAATGACATCATCTCAATGAGCTTTTCCATGACCATCCTTGTTTAACTGCAACTTCCTCTTACCTCTTTACTACCTCCATTCTCAATCTCCCTTACCCTGTTTATTTTTTTGTCAGCCCCTACTAGCGTGTAAGTTCCTTGAGGGCAGCAGCATAGAACCCAGGACGTAGTGGGTATTCCATAAATATTTGCTGAAAGGATCCATTTCAAAAGCAATATAATGAGTGACAAGAAACGGGTTTTGCCCAGAACAAATATTAAAATTCATGGGAAACACTGTAAAAGCAGAAAAGAGAATAAGGTATACCTTTCTACTTCCAATTAATTTATAAAGCTCCTTTGTTTAAAATAAACCAAAAGATTTTTAAAAGGGCAGTCCATACTGTCATGCTGTGTTTTAGACGAGCACAGAGCTAGTCAGAATAGGTAACAACTACACAACACAACTTTAGCTATTATCATAGAATGAAAACTATTTCATGGAAAAAAAATGTTAGACTAACAGTAGTCTAACAATCTAAAGCATTGTTCTGGGCATGTTAAATCAGTAAAATATGAAAACTTCATTTCTTTACAATTAAATAGCCAATATTAAGAGAAAACTTGTGGTCATTGCAAGAATATCTGAATAAGAGTTTAACTTGACATTAATGGCTGAAGTGTTTTTAAAATTCTTAAATTTGATCCTGAGTAAGTGTGTAAATCAATGTTACATTTGTACTTAAGTTTGAGTGAAAGTGAGTTCTATGGAATCAAGGATAGTATAGGTTCTAAGTTACTAGCTCCATAGCAGGGGCTCAACAAATTCTTATTAATTAGTAAAGAATGCACAAGTGAATATACTTTCCATGTTGAATTCACCTTGTTCCTTCTTTCTCTGCCTGACTATAGAGCTTTTAATAATTCCTCAATAAAGGAGAAAATCAATAAAATATCTGTTTTATCTGCCTGTCTGGTATATAAGTAAAAGAAAACAATATGAGTTGGCCAACTCTTTTAAAAATTATTATTAAATGAAATAGATATTTTGTTTTCAATCTGTAGAGTAATGGGCCCAAGATCAGACAGGAGAAGATGAGGAACTCCTCTCCCCTTTAACCTCAGGACATATCACCTATGAGGTGGTAATGAAGCAGAAGAGACACTGGGATGATGCATGTCAAAGAATTTGTTTCAAAGCATCTCTTTAACTCTGAATTAAACTCCTCATAATTCTGAGGCAATGTAGCTAAGAAAGCCTCATGGTTTGGTACTCAAACAGGAAAGCCCTGAAATTTAATTATGAATTACTATAACACCAGTTTATGTGGCAATTGACCAACGAGATTAATGTCTTTTATGGCATTTTTGAGAAGCATCACGAGGGACCAGGAATAGCACACTCTGCACAGGGTAACCTCTGTGCCACTTGCCCACATGGTAGAGATTGTCAGTCAAGAGTCCCTAACAAACATAAATATCTAGATATCTTATCTTTAACCCCAAATTATGATTATCTAGGTTCCAGAGTAATATATGACTGTAGAGAAGGTACTATCGCAATACCAGAACACAGAGAGTCAACAAAGAATAAGGAAGTAGATATATCCCCAACAATTCATTGCTGTGGAAAACCTTTGTTAACAACAGCAACAACTAACATTTACTAAGCCATTATGACGTGCCAGTTACTGTGCTGAGCATTTTACCTGCATAATCTTATCTAATCCTCACAGATCCACTGTTATTATATCTGTTTTAAAGATAAGTGCACTGGACCTTGGAGAGCTCAAGTAAACCAGTTGAGGTGAAACAGGTAGAACACAGCAGACTCTGATGATGTGCCAATTGCCACCCAGTCTTAACTACTAAATCATATTACCTTTAATTTCCACTGTCATTTTTCTTATCTTTGACTCTAGTGCTTGCCCTCATCCCAATATTAGATTTAAAACATTTTGATGCATTCAGTAAAGTTGCAGAATAACATTAAATAGCTTTTCCAAATTTCTGAAGAATACTAGCTTTGAGTCAGATCAGTGTGGTAGAGAGCTTGAGCTTTAGAGCCAGCAAGACCAGGGTTATGTGCCTTTGGACAAGTTATTATGTGAAACCAGTTTTCTTATCTGTAAAATGACAGTTATGATATATATATATATATATATATATATATATATATATACATATATATGTATATATATATATATATATGTTACATGGTTCTTCAGAGGACTAGAGGTAATGTATATAGAATGCTCAGTACTTTGTAGACAATATATAGTCACTATTAAGCTCCAAGGTTGAATCATCTGAAAGTTATATAATTTCACAAGCAAAGCAAATGTTTTGGTAGTATATGGATTTGTTTTCTTTATATGTTTGGTAGCTTAATTACTCAAGAATTATGATAGCAATTTTTTCTTCAATTTTGACTCTTACTCTGTTTTCATATTCAATGCTGTTGGTTTAGTCACATGACTGAACTAAAACTTATTGCTTCTTACAAATGTCTGAGAAAGTACTAATTAATAATTTAATTCTAGCAAAAATACTGACTCAACAAGTTATTAAATCATAAAAAATTATTATTCTATCAAAGTTTAAATTTATATGTAGCAAAAAGCTAATTATGGTCATTTACTTATTTATCAGTAAATGTTTACTGAGTGGCTGTATGTGCCAAGCACTGAACTGTTTGCTGGATATTTAAGTTACAATCTAGGGGGAAGACATTCATGCCAACAGAGGGCCATTGAACCATTTGCAAAACCAGTAAAAAGATATTACAACAGTTTGAGCAAAAAAGTTGCTGAACTGGGGCAGTGGCGGTGGGTTGAAGTGGAGGGGACTGCTGGATCTACTGACGATTTCCACTGATGGAATACGATTCTAGGTGGGATGCGTATTTGGGGAGGGCAGAATGTAAAGGGGAGAATCTAGGCTGACTCGTGGGTTTCCCGTTTGAGCTAGAGGCACAACTTGTAAAAATGATGTGCTAAACAAAAGTTATTTCCCCCTTAAAATCTAATTCACGTTATCATCAGTAATATTTGAATTAACAATAGAAAATGTAAGGGATAATGATGCAAAATTTAAGTAGAAGAGGATAAACAGAAAAAATAAAACAAAGTGCTAACAAGTGCAACTAGTTATATAACCACCGTATATTAATAAATTAGGTGTAATGCTTTATGATGATAAAATCGCTGGGGTTATAGGCAGAAATTTTAATTACTGATTAATACATAACCTTTAATTTTCATTTCTCCCTTGTTTTATAGCAAATATCCAATCTCTCATGTCGGCAGTAGGTATTTAAAAGATATATCAGTGTCTTCATTAAAGTGAGACTCAAACATGGTTCTGTTAACTTCGAGACTGGTGTCCCAGAGCCATTTTAGCACCAGTGTGCTCAACTTGCTGCAGTCACTGCAAAGTCACATAGTAGGAAAAAAGTCTGTATTGCAAAGGGATATACAGTCTTCTGTTGGTATCCGTGGGGGATTGGTTCCAGAACCTCCCTCCAATACCAAAATCCAAGAATGCTCAAGTCAGATATATAATAAAATGGCATATGCACATCCTCCCTGTATACTTTAAATCATCTCTAGGTTACTTATAATACCTAACACAGAGTAAATGCTATTTAAATAATTATTACATTTTATTGTTTATGGAATGAAAAGAAAAACAGTCTGTCCGTGTTCAGTACAGACGCAATTTTTTAATGAATATTTTCGATTAGCGATTGG